ATCCAGTAGAACTTTTTATTGCCTACCTGGAATGGGTGACAATAGTTGAAGAAACTCTTGGCTCCTACTGATACCACTATTTTAGTGCTGCATTGGGGCCCCAACAGATACTGCAGGGGTCTTCAATGTTTTCCAGGCCAAACTGATGGTGAGATGGAGCGGGGACCCCTTAATTATATATACTGTATGAAATAGTGTTCTATCACTCTGGTCCTATAGTCACTCTATTACAGATGGAGTAATGTAACTAAAGTAATCCCTCCCTGGGATTATTAAAGTATTTCTGATTCCTGGTTGATGGGACAGGTGTTGTGAATGAAACGGTGCCCAGCTTGAAAGAGCTCCTGTGTGTCTCTGAATGTGAGCATTGATGACTGAAAGACATCTTCTGCCTCCATTTATCTGTTTACTACAGTGTGTTGATTTCATGTTCATGTGGATTTAAAGACATTTCAATTAGTGGAAAAAATTGCAGGGGGGGTATAAAAAAAAAAGTCTAATCAACCAAAACTTTCGTGACCCCCATGCGGTACCTCTGTGGACCCCCTAGGGCCTGTGGACCCCCTGTTGAAGTCTCATCTGTCACTAGCAGTTTGCTTTTACTAGGGTTTAAAACGCACACATCACTTTAAATAGTGATAATAAATCAAATCAATGCATCTTTATACTGTAGCCGTTTAAAAGCGTACATACTTTGTTTTTGTGGTGGGGCCCAATATCAATGTCTTTCATGGGGCCCCAAATTCCTGGCGGCGCCTCTGTCTTTATTCCCATTATTAGTTCTGATCATTACCGTCTAAAACACCAACTCACACATTTAATCCATTTTCCCTGCAGGTGATTCATAATGTGCTCACCTGATGCAGATCAAAGGGGGACTTCCTCTCAAACAGATGAGCTCTTAGAGCAGAGATGCAGCTTCAGCTCTCATGCTGCTCCGCCGCTACATTTCTCCATGATGGTCTGCAGGGCAGGACTGATGCTCCCTGTCTTAGCGGCTCCAGGACCGGGGATGATCAGCGGGAAGAAGCCGCGCAGACAAACGGATCAATTGATCCGTTCAGATGACTGACCGCAGCGCTCTATCAGCCCAGCATTCAATCACTGCTGCTTCTGCTTTCGGCCTTATTGAACTCCCCTTTAGTCCTGTCAAGCAGCCAGCGTCCAATCACAGCATTGCAACCTTTGTTTTTCTTTTTTTTCTTCTTCTTTTTTCTTCTTCTTCTTCTGGCGTTTATTGACATTTAGTAGCATTACCGCCACTTACTGGTATGGAGTGTGGTGAACTATCTACTAACAAACATTTTATAAATTCTAAGGAA